TTTTCTATATGTACTGAGGAATGGGACTCTTTGCCATCAGGGTGTTTCACCGTCAATACATATTTTTCTTTACATGACTGTATTATATCTTGATGTATTATATTAATTTAGTTTAATAATTCTTCTTACCTATTGTATATTTAAGATATATTTTTCTTTATATGCCTATATTATATCTTGCCATATTGTATACCTCTGGCTGTCTTAAATTTTAAAAGGGAAAAAAAAAAAGAAACCTTTTGCAATTTCTTGCAAGTACTTTAAATAAATCTTGTAAAACAACTTTATAAATTTTTGTCATTTAAAGAGCTAGATAGTTTGTTAACATTTACAGTTCAGCAAATTCCTCGTATTAAAAGCATAAAATATTTTTGTATACAATTTTATACAAATACATCATTATGCATAACAGGTTAAGAGAGTAATGTGCTGACAAGATTCCAAAATAATTCCATTTTCAATTCACATTTCATAAAAATGTGAAATTCCTGCTTGCATGAGTGATGTCTCTGAACTACAGATTAAATTTCAAAACATTTTGACAAATCATGTAAAAATTGCACCTGCAGAATTTTGAAATCGATAATATACCTTACCCGAGGTTTAGCTGCAGTTTTTTTTATACTAACATATTTTTCTATGTGTAATTCCGTTATATTTGATATTTGTAAACAACTGTGCGATTTCTTTATATCTCATATTTGTAAACAACTATATATATTATAAGCAACCTTTATAACAGGGTTAGGCAATGCGGTGCCCTGATTTTTAATGCACCCTCGCTGGACTAGTGTAATGTACGAGCCAGCGTTTATTTACTCTTGTCAAACGTGATATACAGCAATACTGTCGACCACGTATTCCAGATCTATGTAAACATCCAGTTTGGGGCGGAAGTGGCACTCTATCAGTTATGTAGGGGTGAGTGCAGTAGCCCGGTGGACACTAAATGTCCCCTGACCTTCGATTTCACCCACACCGCTTGGACCTTCGAGAGGGAAAAATACCCGCGCTTTTCGCCCACCCACCCCTTCAATTAAACTGAGACATCTTGGTCCTCAGCCAAACTGCTCTCGCTAGCGTGGTGAGACAGTAGTCAGTTGAGTTTAGGATTGTGCATAGATTAGCAGTCTGCTCACCTTGAGCGTATCTAAAAACACGCACGTATTTTTTTGTTAGTGTGTGATCATTCGAATAGACCACGCGTAGACCGTGCATTTAAAACTACCAAGTAACCCGAAATAATTCTTTTCTTTCAAAACCCTTCATGGATAAATGTAAAAGAAAAAGAACATATTATTTAACAATGAATGGAACGTCTATATTGTTTCGTGATTACAAAGGGAAGTGTATTTGTTTTGTTGTGTAATAATAGTGTTCGATTCCCAGAAAAGTAATATGAACGACATTTTAAGACCGGTCATACCAATTTTAATAGTGACTATCCAATGAACTCTGAAATTAGAAGAAAAAAAATTTTTTCTTTAAAATCTTCAATAACTAACCAGCAAAGTTTTTTTACTTAACCACTGCAACAACTTTAAGCAGCAACGATTGCATCATATAAAATATCGCATTTGCTAGCTAAGAATAAAAAAACCATTTATAGATGGAGAATTAGTGAAAGAAGCCACGTCAGAAGCTGCTGATTCATTTTTTGAAGAATTAAAAATAAAAAGGAAATAGTTTCGGCTATAAACACGTTGCAGTTATCAGCACGAAATGTTACTAGTAGAAGAATTGGAGTAATTGCGGAGAATTTGGAGGCAGAATTAGCAAATGATTGAAATTGTATTTTCTTTTCGCTACAGATGATGAATCGGCAGAGTGACAATATATCACAATAGCAATTTGCGTGAAGATGGTATTTTCTGATTTACAAGAAAAGAAGAATTTCCTTAAAGTTCTGCCAATAAAGGGAAGCACCAGAGGAGAAGATATCGTTTCTACTTTAAAGTATATAACAGATGTAAATACCTGTACAAAAGTTATCGTCAATTACAACAGACGGGGCACCAGCGATGACTGGTAAGAAAAAAGGATTTATTGCCTTATGTAGACAGGATTCCTTATTCCCTCCCGAATTTATTTCTTATCATTGCTCATACATCAGGAAATGTTAGTGCAAAAACAATCGGTTTTCAATACGTATTATGATAGTAAAAAATATTAATTCCATAAGATTGGGAGCTATGCAACACAAATTGTTTAAATTACTTTTAGAAATGAGGATGTTCAGTTCACAGATCTTCTTTACATACTGAAGTGAGGTGGCTGAACAGAGAAAATACTTGAGCTATTATCATGCTTTGCCACAAATAAAGGAATTATTGCATCAAGAGGCGAATTTTACGAGCAATTAGAAAATAGGATGGCTAATCGACCTCGGATTTCTGACAGATATAACGGCAAAGTTGAATGAATTAAATTTAAAATACAAGGGAAAAATCAGCATATTGCTGACATCATGATTAGTGCAGTAAATGCATTCAAATGCACAATTAGTGTTGTTGAAATCCCCTATTGAAAAAAATCATTATCACATTTCCAAATATAAATATACTGTTGAGATTTAAATTTGAATAATGAAAATTTTACTGCTACATCATATTTAGAAATTATAGATAAGCTAATAGAAATTTTCTTCTAGATTGAAGATTTTGCAGCATTAGACCCGTTCTAAAATTTTTCATAAATCCATTCAATGTACTGAAGATGATGTCCTTGAAATAGTTTAAGTGTATTTCGAGCTTCATAATATCGAAGACCTAGAATTAGAAATAATAAACTTGCAAAATGATATTATTTTAAAAGCACATAGTAATGATAAAATGTTTGGAACGTAGTCGATGAAAATAAGTATCCTATTTTAATAAAATGTACGCTAAAAATTTATTTGTATTGTGCAACAACATACAATTGCGAGTCTTTGTTCTCAAATATGAAATATCTGAAATCAAAATACCGAACAAAGCTTAATGACTCGCATTTAGATAATTGTTTAAGGACCGGGAACTCTAAATATATCCCCAATTATAAGAAATTAGCTGAAAATATGGACACCCAAGTTTCACTGAATTATATGTGTCATTATGTATGACACCAACAAAATTAAGTTATAAAAAATCTGTTTTTTTTTAATGCCTATTTATACCTGTTGATTATCTGTAAAATATGCACCCTCAGTGATTTTCAAATTTAGTATTGCGCCCTTAAGGACAAACAGGTTGCCGACCCCTGCTTTATAACATATACAAAAGGTAAACACAATTATTAAAATAAATAAATTTAATATGTCGAGATATGATAATCATGTAAAGAAAAATATATCTTGACAGCGAATTAGCCTGACGGCAAAATGGCCATGGTGAAATTGTGGGGTCAAAAAGTTCTAGACCCCTTACTAAATATTATTACAAAAAATATCTGTAAACAATTTTAAGACTTTTGTCTGTTATGCTGTCTTTTGCAGATCCACATAAAAACTGGAGCTAATTAAATAAATTAAAGGGGAAGAGGATCTCTGATAGATCCTCTAAAAATTAGTTTATTGTAAATAAATACAGTAAAAGTAAGGAAAATGAGAAAATTTTGTTGCTTCAACCATATATACGAATGAATACAGCCATAATTTTTGTGTGTTTCCAAATGTATGAAATTAATTATTTTTCTCTAAATTTGTACAATTAAAATTGATAAAAATAAATTATTTTTATAATTATTGGCTGTGCTAGGTAAAACATATTACATTTATACTGTTGATAAATATTATTATTAATGATATTAATAATAATAAAGAACCTACTCTTTTTTTTTTTTTTTTAATACCTCAAATTGTATTTTAGTCATGATGAGTTCAAAACAGATCTTCATATTAAGCATTTTCATAAGAGGTTCTTTAATATTAGAATCTGTAACAGCTTTTAAAATTATTAATCCTTTGAGTACTGAATTATTTGAAAATTTTTGCCCATGTTACGGATTTAATTTGTTGCTATATGGATTAATATGTATATGTAAAAGTAATACATTTTATTTGGAATATACTTATATTGGTGATATAAATATATTTTGGAAACAGCATTTTAGTTTCAGCACTGATTACTGTGGACGAATCAGACTCGTCCACTGTAACTTTGCCCAAATAAGCAGATGACGAGTCTCGTTCTTCAAATGTACCCAAAGGGTTAATTAACCAAATTAACAATAATTCAATTTGCAAATTTTAAAATTTGTGTATTGAATTATTGTGTATTAAAATATTTAGAATATTACAGTATACTGTTAAATCTGTGCATTAAATTTTTTAAAGAACAATTTTATAGTGAACTGCATTTAAATTTCATCTGCATGGGCATCTGTTTTTAACTTGTACTTTTGTCATTCAAAAAATATATATATATATATATATATATATATATGAGGTGTTTTCTCTTTATTTAATTGCGTGAATCATCAGAAGCTTAGTCGCTGACTTTATGTGATTATGGACGCTTTGGGTATTTTTGAGAGATGTATTTTGTGTTGTATATGTGGGGGTGTCCATGTGAATGGATCGTGGAAAAGATCTAACTTAAAGTTATGTAAGATCTATAGATAACCTGATGTAGTAAAATTTTTCAAGCTACAGAGACATGGGCTGTTTATCTGGCCAGAATGCATGAAATTGCCATAGTAAGAAAATCTTTCTGCCAAAGCCAGAACAAGACCTTGGGATGAATATCCAGTGAGATGGATCAGTTGTGTTGAAAATGATGTAAGCATTTTAAATGTTAAAAACTGGAAAACAGTTGCCAAAAGCAGAGATGCCTGAAGACCAGGGCCTGCCCTGGGCTGTCGAGCCAATGAAGAAGAAGAAATGTACAAAATATGTGAATAAATAATGTTTAATAAATGAGTTATGCTTGAATGTATAAATAAATAATTTCTGTAAATAAATAAATAATATTTATTTATATCTAGATACATATTTATATATTTATTTTATTATCTATCAACAGGAAGCTTGCCTTCCTTTACCTGGCCATACAGAATTGCCAACATGCCCTGTCTGCTTAGAAAGAATGGTAAAATTTTCTTGTCATTGTTCATAAGAATACTGTATTTAAAATTGCTTAAAGTAGAATATGTAAATAATTTTAGTGAAATAATATCTATTATATTGTAAAAATTTTAATTTTAGTTTTTAATTTTTGTACTCGAATAGGAATTTGTTAATTTTTGTACTTGCCAGAAAGGATGAAACTTGTTTTCTGTACTCCTTAATTGTTGAATTTTAAGGCTTTAAGTAATTACCTTCTGATGAATAAAGCATTAAAATATGAACAAACAATATGCAGATTAAAAAGTTTCATAATTTTAAAAAAATCAATTTCAAATTAAACTTTAACTTCAAATTGCTTAATACCTAGTACAAAAGGCTTTATTAGTTGCACATAATTTTCTTAATCTAATTTACAGTTAAAATGTTTCTTAAATTTCAGCACGGTATAATCTTTTTATTAAAAAATTTCATATTTAGAAAAAATAAAATTTCAATCTTAAGCAGCTTAAAGGCTTGATTTATATTTTGTAGTCTATTGTAGTGTTAAAAAATTTTTACTTTAAAAATACTTGTTTAAATATTACATTGTAAAAATTTATAATTATTTTTTGGTACATTTTTAAAAATATACTGTATGTAATTTTAAGGGGCTGTCAGTTGTAAAATGTGTTAATTTTAATGTCAGTAATTAATGGGTTACTTTGATTCTAAAAAATCAACAAATATAATAAAATGCTTTAATAAGTATTCATAATTTTTTTATCATAGAATTCAGATCGTTGATGACTGTAGTGCTTAATTATTAGTAAGTGTATTATTCACGACTGCTTCTGAATTGGAACTAGAATCTTATTCTCACTCATTAATATTTTGATCAATATGAAGTCAGAATTAGCTTAACATTCAAGTTCTGATTCTTCTAATGTCATTTCAAATTAGAAGAAATAATCAAATTCATCAGTGGGATAGTTTTCATTTTAAGATGCCACTGATTCTGAAACACATTTTGTTTTTGAAACATTAATATAAGGAAAACCAAGTCTTAGAACTGATAAAGTATGTTACTTTATTTATATGAGGAGTGTTTAAATTTTTAGACTAATTTATTTGTGAAAGATAAATGTCTGAAATTATTTTCTCATTTTCGAAGTAGTTTTCTTGACTTCAGTACTGTAGTAGAGTAAAGTGATCTTTTAAGTATTGGATTTTTGCATAAAAAAAAAGTTTTGTCACAGCCTTCAAACCATTCCTGAATGGCATCCTTGAAATTATCATCACCACCATGCCGTAATTCATTAAAATGCTGTTCTAATTTTTGAAAAGAAAAGAAGTAACTTGAGACCAGGTCTGGTGAATATTGTTGATGAAGGAAAAGTTAAAATCAGCATTGTTAAATAGAAGTCTGGGAGGTTTAAATGTTTATGCTGGTGCATTGTCATGCAAAAGAAATACTTTTCTGTATAGCATTTTACATTTATGGTTTGTCAAAGTTGAGCCAATAGGTTAGCATAATAAATACTTGTTTTCATAGTGTGTATATGTCTTATAATCAATTTACAGTGATCCCTCTTCATTGTAAAACATAGTACCTAAGTACTAGTGATGGAGCCATGATTCATTTATTCACTAGCCATGAATGAATGTGAATAAACATTTTCATCATTCCGTATTATGAAGGGCAATTCTTGAGAACACCTAATTTGATGTTCATTTTTGGTATCAACATTTTGGGTATCATTTGCTGCAGACTTTTCAAGGATAGATGTAAGCATAGATTGCAAGCTTACATTGAAAGTATTGAAGTAGTATTCGAAAATACTATGCTTACTTTTATCCAAGAATTCAACCATTTAATGGTGCTCAGTATTTAAAAATATTAGCAGACATCACTGACAACATTTAACAACCTTTTAAAAAATTAATTAACCAATTTGTTGTGTTTGCAGAGCATGTTATTAATAGGAATGATAGTTAATATGCTAAAAATGTTTTAAATTTGAACACTGTAGGGATTACATTTACTTCTATGAATAGCTACAGCAGTGTAGATACATTAGGCAGCCAAATTTTGAAGATTTGCATTCATCATAATAATTTTCTATACCTGTTGTATTATCTGTAACTTTATAGTATTGCCTCTATACAGCATGTACTATTAAGAAATACGGTGATCAAATTCTTAAAATAAAATAATAGGAGGATATTTTTTTTTTGAAAATCTATATATTATTCTATTTTGCATTCAAATTCTAGCTCTTTTATGCTGCAGATGAGTATGGAATTAATGTAATGATTAAAGATATGTTCTGTGGCAAGTTTCCATCAATATTCATAGTTGCAGAGAAAGAAAACTTTTTTATATCTCTTCAGATGTCATTATGGAATCTAATTTTGTTATAAATTTCTTATTATTGTGCTGCCTACCAGTGAAGTAAGAGAGCATTCTGGAGTGGAACGTCTGGATTTCAAATAGATTCAGATTAAATATCAGGCTGTGTGATTTACGAATATTTCTGCATCACATTAAGCCTAGAAGAGGGGAGATTCTATTTTTGATGTTATATTTAATATGGAACAGGTTTTTAGCAGTCACAGCCATCATCAAAATTCTTGCATGTCTGCAATGAATTTTGACAAGATGAAAAGAATCACAGCTTTTTCCTGTGAACTTATATCAAACTTTGAAGACTTCATGAAGAAAAATCAGCTGGCTGTTCTCATTTACTCCTGTTTTTATGGAAAATATTATTGAACCATATCTTAATATATATGTTCTTTAAAATAAAAATATTCAGATTCATAGTTTAACTTTCTATCTTGGTTTCAAAATATTAGGAGGATATATTTTTACATTCTGGAATCAGGTGATGGTAAAAATATATATAAAACATCTATATGTAAAAGTTCTTTTATGTATATTATATGAATATTTTCTGAGAGGAAAATCATGTTACATTTACACTGAGATCAAGGGTGTCATATGTGAAGGAAGTTTAAAAAATTATTGGGTAATTTTTAGTTTAAAAACATCATTAACAATGTATTCTTAAAATAATTTCATGTGATAAAGAACCAGAACTTTTTCTTACCGCTTTATGAATGTCATTTAGGGAAGGTAATCAAAAAACCAAAAGTTAAAAAATATAATTATGAAATACAGTACAAAATCCAGATGTCCATTATCCGAGATGATCTATAATGCGGACCTCAAAGCAGACAAACTTTTTTTTCGCGTAAAGAATGCGCATGTATACATTACGTGCATTACACATGCACGTGTTAAAAGAAATGTTTCATAAAGTAAACAAATATTAAGATTTTTTTTTGTAAAATTTGATACCCCTTAGAATTTAGATCATAATTGCTCTTTATTTCATAAGTTACAGTTTCATATTTTTAATTGTATAATTTCTGCATGCCATCTTACCAGATTTAAATTGATGATCTATAATCCAGAAAAACCATTAATCCGGAATCGCCGTAGTCCCAAAGAGTCCGGATTACAGAGTTTGTACTGTATTAATATCAAACTGGATCAAAATTTTTAGCCTTAATTTAATTTTAAATTGGTACAGTATACTAGCTTTCTGATTACTTACTGTTTCATATTTATTATTTTCAAAATAAATAAAAATACTGTGTTTAATTTTAGGATGAATCTGTTGAAGGAATTTTGACAATTTTATGCAATCACTCATTCCATGGAAGCTGTTTGGCTAAATGGGGTGATACAAGGTATATTTAAGACATTTAAAATTAAAATTTAAAGTTCCAACTTGCTTTTTAAATTTTCTTTTTATAGAATATTTAATATACTGTGAGATAGGTCAATAACATATACAGTCAAAAGTCGTTAATTCGGACACCCATAATCCGGAATGATCTATAATCCTTGATGCATGCGCATAGGCGTTTACGCGTGCGCTTAAGACCTTTACGGCTGTGAATATGCACAATAATAACGGACAGTATAAGCTAAGCTAAAATTATCTAATTCAGTTAATGTTTCAAATTGTTCCTTAATCTTCAAATTGGATCCGCCTTATTTTTTTTTGCAGACCGTTAGAGCAATTTTATAAAAGTAAGCTTGAACTTTCGATTATGTCAAATAGAATTTCCGAAATATATTCATTAGTACGTAAAAAATCTACAATGCGAAAGTATGTTTATCAATTTCACGCTGCTATGCGGGGGGGGGGGGACGCCGCGGCGCGCAATGAATTGGAAGTTGATCTGTCAGCACTATCCTTATCTTCAGGGCAAATTTTTTTATTTTATTTGGCTTACAATTCCTTACTAAATGTAGTATTTCATATCGATGTACTCCATCTTTGATATGATTTAAATCAAATTCCTCGTCATTATAATTCACTTCCGATAGTGAAGAAAGTGACAGAGGTTATTGAAAACGAAAAAATTTTGATTGACAAATTAGTCAGTATTATCGACACAGCAATTATAGGACTTGAACAGAGGAACTTTGTAACTGAAGATGAAGTTATGTATGTTTATAGAATTAAAGAGAAAGTATTATCACAAAACGAAGCAACTTAAACAACTTGCATTGAAAGAAATGTTTAATAAAGTAAACAAATAAATATTAAGCTTTTTTTTTTTTTTTTGTAAATTTTGATACCCTTTAGATCATAATTTTTCTTTATTTCATAAATTATGGTTTCATATTTTTAATTTTGTAATTTCTGCATGCCATCTTACCATATTTAAACTGATGATCTATAATCCGGAAAAATCGATAATCTGGAATCGCCGAAGTCCCGACGAGTCCGTATTAACGACTTTTGACTGTATAGATTTTATTATACCATGAAATTTAAACACATTGTTGTATTTGGAATGAACATGTATTTGAAATATTTCAATTATACTATCTTAGTTTCAAATTTTTTGCTGTTATATTTCATTATTGATATTTAAGTCTTCTGTACACAGTTGTCCTGTATGTCGCTATTGTCAAACACCAGAGCTTATGCCTGACAACCGATGTGTTACATGTGGTTCGCAAGATGTAAGTTTGATTGTGATAATTTTTATCTTTTGATGCTTATTATAAAGCTCTTAAAAGATTTTAATTAGTTATATACTCAGTGGATTATAATCCTTTATTATTTAATTAGTTTTAAATGAAAATATTTTCAATTTATTGTTTTATTTACCAAATTCTTGGATTTATCTTCGCCATATTTTCATGATTATATGAATGAACAAAGATAATTTTTTTAAGGTATTAGTTTAATTAAGAGGGAAAAAAATTTAGCAGGAAAAATATTTATTTTTATTGAAGATACAAAATGTTGCAGAAATGCAACATTAGTCAAAACCAGTTACTTTTGGGATACATGGAAATCTTTTAAACTTTTGCTATATGCTAAGGCAGATAACATTTATTACAAACAGTTATTGTTTTACTACCACAGTATTTGTATCTCTTAGTTTTATTTGTTGAATTTATCTTGATAATGTGATTTGTGGGATTCTTTCTCGTTTTGCTTAAGGCTGAATTCTGAAAGAAAGCTAGTTGGCCAACACAATCTGTATATGAAGATCAAGGTTGAATTTTCAGAATATTCTCTCCTTGTTTTCAGCAATCTCAAAGCTAAGCCAAAATGTCTTTGAAAATCTAACAGAGAAATTTTAGGGTTTATAGCAATCAAGTTTCCATGCATTTTAGCTACATAAATAACATCCGTAAAAATAGGTAGCCACCATTTCTTACTCTTTACTTGCACTTTATATTCATCACAGTAAAATTATCCAGAAGGTCCGTGCCATCCATATATTTATTGTTATTTCTGATGAGTTTAGATTACTTCATGGATACAGATTTCTTTTTGTGAAGGTTACTAAGGGTGCATAAATTGTATCAAAGTTAGTTGTCAAAGCTATGATGGAAATTGTGGTTCTGTCGAATTTCTACAATGTTGTGCTCTTTATCAAATGTGATGTTGTGTGTTCTACTTTCTCCTTTTTTTTTTTCATTTTGTTTACAGGTATAATAGGACCATTTCCTAACTTGCTGTCAAGAATTGCTCCATTCTCATAAATCTTCATCTGATTCAATTCCGACAATAACATGTGTGATGTTAAAAGTTGTCAAAAATTTGATGAATGATGAAATAAATGATTTGAAGAATATTTAAAACTACACTTAAAAGATCTGTAACAGCATTTCCACCTAGTCCTGTCAATGCCTTTGAATATTTTCCTGAATATGTATCAAAATGATACAAGTCCTCTACCTAGAAATACAAAACACCAAACTTTGTAATAAAAATAAATGGGTTTTCCTTTGTGAAATATTTTGCATGAATATCTACCAAGATAAGGTATCATTTTCTGAACTGTAGAAAGATGTATTGAAAAATACTTTATATGTCATGAAATAGGCATTTAAAATATTTAAATAGCATCAAACCTTAGTCAATTTTTCGGTTTTATCATAAATTATTATGCTTCATTCAGTGTCAAAAACAATTGTCTCACTAATCCTTTTTTTGGAACATTTGTCTTGTGGAATTGTAAAAGAAAATATGATTACCGTAATTTCCGGAAGAAAGGCCGCATCAGCGTAAATGCTGCACTCAAGAAAAATGGCGGGAAAAAATTTAAATTACACAGAAATGTTGCATTGGCGTAAACATCGCAATAGATTAAATTGCGCGTGACATCGTCGTGGACCGTATAATTACAAAATCTCAACCTTTGTCCTGATATATGACATATCAGTTAAGAAAAGTGCATGAAATGAAACCATAACTCAAAAATAAATTAAAGGTAAGAAATGTTGAAAATATATTTACGTTCATGAGTATACTTATATTTACCCACTAAAGAAGTCCATATTTGTAATACTCAGACTATATTATAAAAAATGTTGCAACAATGAAATATTAAATTTGGATGACAAAAGGAAATTTTAAATTTTACTTACAAAAGGAATTATAGCAAACTATACATCATATGAAGCCATAAATCTGATTCTTCACTATCTGAATTAAAAAATTTAGTAAATCCTGATCTAAGTCTTCCAGATCATCACATTCATCCTCTTGGTTTACAGTCTCTTTATCTAAGGATATAATTTCAGCTTCTTTGAACCCTGCTATTATTGACGATGTTTTTACCGATTTCCATGCACTTTCTACACACTTTGCAACTTCTTCATAAGATGCTACCATTTTACTACTTTTGTATACGTATGCCATCTCACTCTTCCAACACTCCCACCACTTGGACTTCAGCTTTGAGGATTATTACCTGACAAATCTAATGTGTAACTTTTTGTCAACCACCAGAAATTATTGCTACTGGCGTAGACATTTTTGATATCTGGTTTCATGCTCAAGTAATGAGCACGCATCAACATTGGGGCAATACCCTTTTGGTTGGAAAAAGATCCTTACGACCACTGTCAACTTTTGTAGCCACCTGAGATTGTCGACATCCAGCCGTTCTTGTTTGCACAAATAATTACTCATTAGGAAAATCTCCTTCGGATATCTTTCGTTTAAAATGATCATCGGCTTAGCTTGTCACTGTTTACGGCACAAGCTACATGTGTTTAAAAAGACGTCTTTATGCCCGTCTTAACACAAAGACAGTTTTTGCGCCAGTTCTCACAGTTCGTGTGCGTAGAGCCAAAGCTAACGGCGTTTCAATCCATATTTATATCTGTGACCGAAGATTGTTGTTTTATTTGTTTAAATTTTTTTATTTATTATTTTGTCCATAATATCTATCACATATTTTAGAAAGATGTCTTTTTATCCTGCAGTCCATTTGTATTGTTGTCGACCGTTGTTCCTAGCCCCAAAATATTTTTTCTTTTCATAATCCTACACATCAAGGCCCTCTTTGAAATCTTTATGTTCTTGTTTTGCTAAAATTTGCTTTAAGCGAATTTTACAGTGAAATTGCCATTCCTTTCCTCTTTGCTCCTTATCCAGTTTGCACGGTCTCCTTAATCGGCCTTACCACTTCTTTTGGCTGTTCTGTTGTGGCATTTTTAAGTTCTACAATGTCGAATGCAACGTTGAACTTTCCACTTCAACTCTCGAGGCTGCTGTCAAGAATATGTATGTACATACCTTCTTTGCTGCTGCTGTATTTTCCTTTGTTCAGCACTGAAATTAATAACTTAAACCCACAGTAAGTTTCTGTGCCTTTTGTGCCATTTTCAAAAATTTTGCTCCCTAAAAACTATCCCATATACTTGTACCAAACTGATGGGATCTTATTGGCAGATGCCAAGAAAATCTATGCATGCTGAAGGGAAAACGTCAGAGTTCGTTATTGCGAGCAGCTGAGTTGTGTCTGCTTTTGAAAAAAATTGAGAAAAGGCAGGTGGGGGAGGATGAGTCCGGAAGATCATCGAATGGCTAGGAGAGAGACTATTCAAAATGATATAATGCTGATTTGAAAGGGGGAAAGATGTATTGTTCTGATACCCTTTTAGGGTGAATAAGGTATTTAGGTCTGTTCAAGGGAAAGAATGAAACAAAATAAGTTGCAAAAGAACTGAGGGTCTTTGTGTGGCAGCACCAGTTATGTACAATGACAAGGCCGCAAACCAAAATATGTATGGTAGAGGAAAGCTTCACAGCAGCAGAATTGGCTCCCTCCGAACGAAAGGACACAACTGCGCATGCGTGAGTATCTGTCACCGAAAAGCACCAAAGTCGAAGCTGATGTCGAAGTTGAACAGGTTCGGACAGTCACATTATCAAGAGTTAAAGCTGTGTTATTTTTTTTTTTTCCCCTAATATCGACAGATATAAAATCAACATCAACTGCGATCTGGATAACAAGTTCAACTAGAAAGCAAAAAACACGAATTCGATTTAATATCGTGAAAGTCAAGAACGATATCTTAACGCCGTCTTCCTCAATTTCTATACCTGGCGGAGATTAAAAATCTCAGCCAGGTCGCAAATCCTTGGCGAATTGTCCTCTCTTCTTCTATGCGTCTAGAGACAAACTGGTTACCTTACCTCTATGGAGCCTTTCTTTCTTCACATAGACTTTCTTTGTCCAAACTATGTCCAATGAGAAAGTTATTCAAACTATGTACAATGACCATCATAGGAAATATTTTATTTTTAGTGCACCTAAACGCCACACACAGCTGAAAATTTAATTTTAAACACGTAAACACCGCGGCGTTTCTTCCAGAATTTATGGTATCTATGAAAATCTATATATACTCACAAAGATGAACTGATGTTGCTTTTTCGTAACATTTTAAAAAATGCATATTTATGCTAACAACAACAAAATAATAACTTTACCTTTTGATGCCATTATACTACCTGGTGTTTCTAGAAAATTGGCATGTCTTTATAAAATTACCGTATTTGTCTGCGTATAAGACACCCTCCCCTTTTCCATGCGCATTTTTGAAGGCTAAAACTTTATTACTGATCATTATAATGAGTTTACAGTATTTTAAATATAAAGTAATAAAAATGCAAAGTAATACTCTTTACAAATACCCAATCTATCTGGGAAAGAACATCTTTTAATCTTTTTCGTCAAAATCCAGACACTCATCTTCAGAGCAAAATGAAGAGTCACTTGAAACTTCTTCTAAATCAGCATATGGGTCCTCATACAACAAATTATCTTCTGTACCATCCAGTGCATTATAAATTCCACTCTTCTTAAATGATTTAACCACTATCTCTTTTCACAGCATCTCATGAAGCTTTGATTCATTCACAAACTGAAAAGAATGTAATCAAAAACTGAGTATCAACATATTAGACGCACCCTGTTTTTCAGACCTATTTTCAAAGAAAAAAAGTGCATCTTATACGCCGGCAAATACAGTATTTGATTGGTTCTGCTTCCTCCAAAAACAATGAAGTTTCATCTACAACATTGCTAAAGGTAAGCAAAAAAAGTTAAAGAAAAAAATTGTCATACCAAAGGTGAAAGAAAAGACTAATGTTGCGAAAACGTAATATCAGTCATTAATGGGTTAATAACATATGCCTGAAATGCTGAGAC